CACACACACACACACACACACACACACACACACACACACGCGTCTCGAACAAGTTCATGGCTGGATTGGGCGCAGTCCGTACCGTGCGGACAGTGGTGTCCAGCGTGACCCGATGTGCTGTCCCAAGTCGTACAAGACAGTCACAGTATCGGCCGTACTCAAGGGTTTAATTTCACTAACGTCGTTTTGACAGTGCAGGCTTGACATGTATTGGTGTTGAGAGCCCGGTTAATGTTTAATGCTTCCCAAACAATTCAGAATCCACTCAGTGTTAGAAAATGAACCAACATCGTGGGCTGAATGGGATTTTTTTTTTCCGTTTTTTTTTTTTTTTTTTTTGGGGGGGGGCTTTTTTTTTTTTTTTTTTGGCTTGGGCAGTGCATATCTGTTGATGATTTCGAGCCAAAAGTCCTTTTCAAACCCAAACTCAACACCTTTGTGGTGTTTTCTTTATTTATTTTTTGTTCCAAATTCTGCCAACTGGAACTACACTGCACTGAGTTAATGGATGTTATAACAAAAAACTACTTATTTGTCACTCAGGTATAATTACCTGAGTGCAGCTAAGTGCCTCCCGTTTGAAGGCTTTGTATGATTTTATGTTTTGACAGGTTTGCTTTTGGAAATAGAAATTTGCTGTGTGGTGTTAACTTTTTTTTCCTGTTACCTGTGCATTTCTAGAGGGTGTGAAACACAAAGAACTGTTGCCACTGACAGTGCAACCATAGCAACATTACCGAGTTTGAGAACACTTTGAAAACATCAGATTTCATCTCATCTGCCAAGTTTTAGAGCGTTTTTGTGTGTGAATGTGTGTGTGTGTGAAAATGCTGAATGGGTAATGTCGTCGCATGATTTACCRAGAATGCAGAAACACGTTGGAATAAATGCACAGAAAGTCTGCGTGTGTGGTCGTCAAAATGATTTAATTCTGAGCGACAACAAACAGAAGTCAATCAGGAAGTCTGTCATGTTGTGACTGCCGCGTCAGCAGAGAGCAGCCAATAATATARCATCATGTTAAYATCATGTGACATGCTTATAACCAATCACAGATCGACGAATACAAAAATCAGAGAGACTAAGACATGTTATTAAAAATGTTTCAAAATAACCTTTTATCATTCTTCTTGATTTAAGCTTTGAATCACGTTCCACTAAGCGATCCCRGATGCGGCTGAGCTGTTTTCAGACTAGGTAAAGTAAGCATGTATCTCCACATGTGCGACTTAGAGAAATATTTTAATTAGTGTCAACAAGTTGCTTTCATTGCTAGGTTTTGAGTTTCGATTAAAAAATGAATTATTTTGAATTAAAGGCAAAACTGCAGTTGACTAGGACCTTCGTTCTTCATAGACATGGGAATGTAAACCTAATACTTTTACAAGCTCCAAATTTTTTTATGTTGTTTTTGAGTCAGATCTACATTCAGTCAACATGGTCATAAATCTAAATGCAAAACTGACATTTATGTAAAACCAATCACCCATTGCCTTTCATGACAAAGTTTTATACAAAGATCATCTTATGTTGAGAAGAATTGTAACAGTTTTAATCAAAAATGGAAAATAACAATATACACACTTTAATGCAACATTATAAGATGTCACACTTAGAATATTTGTCARCTCTTGGTTAGCTGTGGTTGAATTGGGGGTTGGGGGTACTCCAAGTAAATAAAGATTGCTTTCTGAAAGGTTGCATCAAAATATATCCAGTGGCTCATGATTTT